CGCTGGATCTACTCTCGCTCATCTCTCTCCTCCAACTTCCTCTGATGAGAACCACCGACGGCGACGAGAACCTCCCACTGACCCATGACGACAAAAAGCTTGTGAACCCACCTCCGCCCATGATTTCCTCCTCCTCCACCGATGCACGATCTTCTTCTTCTCTTCCGATCCGCAATTTTCAGATCTTGACTGCCTCTTTTGCGACCGGAATCGTGATTGTCCGATATGGGGTCACCAGTGACGACCCCCACCCACCCATCAAGCGGGGTGGGTCATGATCTGAACATTTTCAGAGTCCCCTTCATTCAATTTGCAGCTTTCTTGAGCTTCTTTAATTTCGACCGATTGATGCATATCTAGTTTTTTCTTTAAACTTACTCTTTTTTTTTTTGGTTAAATTTTATCCTTAGATAAACAGTTTTTTTTAATAATTAAATTATTTTTTAATTATTTTAATTGATTAAATATCAAATTACTTGATGATTATTAATCAAGGGTATTTTTGTCAAAATACAGTTTATTTTTATTTTATTTCGTTGTGAACCAAACAGTATAATTTTTATTTTGGTATTGATTTTATAATTTTAATTAAATTAAAGAATCAATTTATGATTTTAGCACATTCTAATTCTATTCTTATTCTCATTATCATTCTGTCACTGCAACTGTCACCGCAACCAAGCGTACAAGGTCGTGCTATATTCATCACAATTTGGTCAAATCTTGACTTGAATAATAAGTAGAATCAAAACCTTTTGTGTATGTGTGTGAGAGAGAGAGAAAGATTAATAAAAGTATAATATCTCTCTTGTTAGTGGTAAAGTTCTTGAAAATTTGTTTCAACATCTTTACTTGAATGGCAATAATGACCATAAACCGTTATTTTTTTCCCCATGTAAACCATTAAAGAGTAACAAGTCAAATGGAATCTCATGTAATATATCTCAAAACCCAAATGAAGATGAAATACCAAATTTTTTATGGGTTTTCTTTTTAATTTTTTTTCTACTTCTAATCCCTTGTTGTTGTGGTTGTTGTTGTTGTATTTCTCCAATATGTGGGCAGCGAGATAAAATAAAATAAGGTAAAGCAAGTTCATTTTTCTTTTCTTTTTTGTTTCGAAGGGGTTGATTTAAAGCAAGTTCTGATGTTGTTAATATATCCTCTTTTTTTTTGTATTATTATGCTATTTATCTTAGCTATATTCGAGACTAGACTTTCTTATTTTATTTTTCTTTTTACCTTTCAATGAGAAGAAAAGATTATTGAATTGTGAACGAAGCAAGTGTACTCGAAAGCTTTGAACAAAATTATACCGCATTTGGAAGCGAACGAGAAAATGAATGCAGTAGACTATAAAATGTTTCTTTTTCTTGTATGGGATGCATGATAAAAGAAAATGAACATTAAAAGTAATAGTAATAATAATAGTAATAATAATAATAATATAATAATAATAATAATAATAATAATAATAGTAATAATAATAATAGTAATAAT